GTTGCTAAAGACACCCTGGATCAAAGGTTTTGAAAAGACACAGGACGGTCAACGCACAAGTACGCGTGTTGCATCATCAGGAGTAGGTAAGTTCACAACGGATCGCTATGGACTCAATATGTAAACTGGAAACTCTTTAATTAAGGCTCCACAGACCATTGTTATCAACCATGCTGCCGAAAACACAAGGTACTCGACCTTCATGAATGTAAACCTAACTGAATGCCTACGATCATCGAATGCCACAGAAGTCATATGTTGGCGGTGTTGCTCGGTTGCGTTAATTGGTCGTTGGTCTGTTCGCCGAGTTTGGCAGTTAGATTGCAAACGTTTCACAGCTAATCGAGGCGACATCAGTACATGGTTGAGTAAGTTCATTCTCTGCCTGTTATTATATAGTTTCTAAGCGCTCCCTGGTCTATATAAAGTAACTGGCTAATTCCGAGATAACTTTCGCGTAATTTGAGTGATCTGCTTGAAATCTGGGTTGCGTTCTGCTCTCATCTGCTTGTATCTGATTGGTTTAGTGGCTACCTTCGATTTGACAGTTCTATTCCTCTGTTGCGACTGAGCCGTTTCCTTCTCGCTTTGTTGTCTAATTACGTCCCACCTAGTCGATTAACTGATTGACTGACTGATTGCTTGGATGATTGACTGATTGATTGATTGATTGATCGATTGGTTGGTTGGTTGGTTGGTTGGTTGGTTGGTTGGTTGGTTGGTTGGTTGGTTGGTTGGTTGGTTGGTTGGTTGGTTGGTTGGTTGGTTGGTTGGTTGGTTGGTTGGTTGGTTGGTTGGTTGGTTGGTTGGTTGGTTGGTTGGTTGGTTGGTTGGTTGGTTGGTTGGTTGGTTGGTTGGTTGGTTGGTTGGTTGGTTGGTTGGTTGGTTGGTTGGTTGGTTGGTTGGTTGGTTGGTTGGTTGGTTGGTTGGTTGGTTGGTTGGTTGGTTGGTTGGTTGGTTGGTTGGTTGGTTGGTTGGTTGGTTGGTTGGTTGGTTGGTTGGTTGGTTGGTTGGTTGGTTGGTTGATCGAACAACTCAGAAGTTATGTGTTCTGTGGAATGCCGGCTGAGCTCCGAATGCTGCCAGACAAAGCCATCATTCGGACGGCTAGGAGTGCATCCTTCTAAACTGGCACACGCTGAAGAATTTATTTCATCATTCACGCCTTGAACGATTCTTACTGTTGACACAGGTAAGCGCAGATTAGCCGGCTTTCGAATACAGTACTCCGACATGATATGGCAGTGTGGCTGATACGTGGCAAACGGCCGAAACATTTCCTCATCGAATTTTCAATTCTTATTCTAAAGACCTATATATGAGAGAAAAATTCGTTCGTGGGGATGAATGACTTGTAGTTACTACGTTGTTAGTGCTTCGACGTTCCACGGGAACGCCCGGAACTCTCATGCTTGCACGAAAGACAAACCTGGGTATCAGTGTACTCGGTTTTCCGCCAAGAATTGTGACCAACTCAGCGAATAGCAATGATGATCTTCGGTTCCACCAAAAACTTCGAGCTCATTGGATAGGCCCGATCCCTGAGTTCCCGCCAATCTTGCGTTCAGCTTGAAACTGAGTTGTACGCAATCTGTGACAAATGTTCATTTGCAAACTGAGTTTATTTTAACGGCATCCCAGCTGAATCTCTAATTGAATTTTGAGGAAACTTGTTGGTTGCGCCTACCTGATGAGCACCAACGGGGGTTGTGGGCTGTCGAAGCGTTTTCAGTCATCCAAGATGTATTTATTATGTTCCGCTCATAAAACGTGCTGTGATACCTCGAACATCGTACCAACTGTGACACAAAGCGGACTTTGTGTGGCACATTCACTCAAAGAAAGACAAGAATGTTGGGTGTAAAACAGCTCCCCTTGTTAGTGAAGTAAACGCTGATAGAAGCGGAGGTACTAATGATGCATAGTTTATAGCGCATAGACTCTTAACAAAGTATCCGTAATTGCTCATAAGCTCGCTGTGAAGAACAGGTATGGTCAAATGGCCGGTGAACACAGGTGATAACGTGTTAACTCCGTTATTCAACATGATGAAACATAGGAACACGCAAGAGTTGGCAGGGCAAGCGCTCAATTCGTAAAAAAACTCTGTCGCTCTGCAGTCATGCGAAACATGACCGTTCAACAAAGATGCTATCAATTGTCTGGATAACTTCACTCACCCGACCTTCGATTCTTCATCCTCCCGATTTCATCAAGTGATCACTCCTTACAATTGTGTTTCTTTGGGGGTTTAAAACATCTGATCTGAACCAAGCCATATCGGGACTACACGGAAATTCCTATCCATTCCACCCAGCGGATAAAGTTGGTGTTTCGCTCCCTAGTGCATTTTTCTGAACTGGGTGACATCTGCGTTTGGATAGGCTGAAGAAAATACTAATGCTGATGGTTCAAAGGTCCCAGTTAACAGCCAAAGGTGGATGACCTCCAAATTCTGTTGCTCCAAAAGACGGCGACTGGATTCCAGGTTACCTTTAACCGGATCCACAGAATGAATGTGCGTAACTGTGACTCTTATCACCTGGTAGTAACCTTGCAAGTGATCCAAAGCGAAAGGGACCTTGTATGCTGTGTAACCTGACGGTTTTGACAAATACAGTGGGTCTCAGTGCTCTTTCCTTTCAAAGACGTGTACACACGCGGTATTCCACCGTCTCACCGTCGTTCTGATGCTTTAAATTAATCCAAAACCCGTTGGTAATTATGCTATGCAAGGCTTTTGAAAAGCCCGCGTGATGAGAATTCCCGAAATGTTCCAACCTGGGGAGGTGTGAACTGTTTTCTTTTTCGTGGCATCTTGAGCTTCGAGATGTTGTCGTTTGATAAAGTCAGGAGCATAACGTTGCCGTCTGCAGTATACATCTGACTCCTCGGAATCCCTTCACAAGGCGTTTTACCTCGTTGCCGAAACTTAATTCGTACGCTTCCGAAGTGCTATAGGACATGAAAACTCTCATTTAGTCCTTCAAGTCTTTAGTCCTGTCCCACCAGGACCCACCATCATTTGTGAACATGTGTTACCGGTAGTTACTGGATTAAGAGATCTGGGAGTTATTATAGACAAGACGTTGAGTCCCCTACACTGGCACACCGCACAGCTGTATCTCATCATGCTGGATGAGTGCTGTTCTTGCCCAGAAGAGCTGCTGTACCGTACTTTCGAAAGACCACGTCTGGACTACTTAAGTCATCTTACCTGAGAAAATATGTCACAATCTTTGAAAAAATGCGAGGATTGACTGCTAAATGGAGCTAGATGATGAGAGAGGATTCACTCGTTTATAGGTAGACTAAAAAGCCTAGAGCTACTTGGATTAGAAAACCGACACTTTCAAAGTGGTCTTCCGGCAATACCGGAGTGGAATCTATCTCAACCTGGAGACTGTGCTGCCGTTCGATACTGAATGTTGGTGAGTTCCGATTATATGGCTACTGTGTAGAGTAAGCCTAAAATACAATGACAAGTGAAGTTCGCTGGTAGGCTTGGGGGGAGCCAGTATCCCATGGGCTAACTGTCGGGAAACGAAGGTGATGAATCGACTTCTGAGGTCCTTCACAACTAAAGCTTCGGTTCGCCTTGGATGAGATTTCACCTACTTGTACTAGAATTTCACTTTGATATGAATTTGGATTCAGTTCAACAGCAGCATCAGCAATGGAGTATCCTTTGTCCACTGTCACGAAGAGACTGAACCTAACCGTGGTGTGACGGTTTGCGCACCTCATCGACTCATTGGGCTTTACTGGGGGGTGTCCCTGCGACACTCACAGAGTCTCTCATACCAGGTTGGTCAATGCCCAGAGGTCTGACGAACACAGTCTCCTGGCCCTCCAGGTTGGAAGTTGGAACATGTGGCAACTAATTCCGTAGAAATGGTAATGCATTTGCATTTCCCGCCAAACACCGCTGCCTTGCGGTTAGGCTTCTGAGCCAAAGGCTTTGGTTGAGGACCCGAATCGTCCTCCTGTCTAGGTGTGGGCGCCCTGGCAGTATCCCAGCCCACGTACAACCATGAACTGCACGCATACAATACGCCAGCGAAGCATCGGTGTTGAACACTGATGTCATGCTGTTGATGATGATCCTTCGTCCGAACTCTTCCTGTCCTGAACGAATTGTATCGGGGCCCAGATTGAAACTTACAGTTCTCTTCAGTCCAAAAATGGAATTTGTCCACTTTTTGATAGTGTAGTTTTTAGTGTTTCGGTTGTATTTATCTCTGTCATTCTCAGTCCACCTGCTCGACATCTGCTCTTTCCAGTTTGGTTAGCAACCCAACCTAAACTTACCGTCTGATGCCGAGAAGCCATCTGTAATAAAATGGCTGGAATTATTTTAGGTTCATTTGTTCATCACTGGCGGTGCTAGAGGTGTACGGTACACTACATCAACATTCATTTCTTTGTTTCTTTCATGCGGAGGCCTCACGGTCAAACACGGTTTGGTGACAGGCTCAGGGTGATTCGCTCAAAGGATAACCTGGTCGACTAGACTAAAGTCTATAAATTATTTTCGGGACACCAGAGCACTTAGGTGCACTTCTGTAGAAGCGCATCCAAACCCCTTGAAGCACAGCTTTCAAAAGTGACACAGTTAGCTAGTTAGTTGGTTAGTTAGTTAGTTAGCTAGCTAGACCGAGGTATCCAATCAAGATCCATACGATCATCGTACTTTTCCACAGACCTTAGCATTGTGCCCTTCCGCAACGGATTTAATCACTCATGTTGCCAGGTGATCGATTTACTGTCTTCCGTGTCTTCCAGTAAATTCGTTAGTTCCATTTGAACCGTCCCAACCTTTTCCTCAGTACATTCCATTCTCTTTATCTCAATATTTTATGATGCGTTCATATCTCACTGTTCAAGATCACGTCATGCTACAAGTTTACTCCTATACTAACCTGTCCTGGTCATCACTTCCTCATTTCCTTGTCTCTCGCTCCCTCTCCCCACACAGCGATCCCTCTTTACAAAAGGCAATGATCTCGGAAGAAGAGTGGCAAGAACTGTTTCCCGAAAGATGGGGAGTTGGGCGGAAGTGGAAAGCCGAATATGAGGACAAAGATTTCTTTCATCCTAAAATGGAAGTGGACTATTATTCGTATGGAAACTTTATCAGCGCTATGGGTAGAGCAAAACGCCTAGGTGTGGGAAATTTCCTAACAGAACCTGGTTCTTCACACGAGGACAATATGCGCGAATTGGCAGCATTTTTAGCCATCTGTTCGACCCAGACAAACAACGGACCAGATGCTTTCTACTACAGGGAATGTGTGGAACATGAAAGACACCAGAGAGATGGAAGCATCTGCTTGTATCGCGATGTTCGAGATCGTCGGGACTTTGTTCTGTGCAACACTCCGAGCTACTATCCTGAAGGATGTCGGCTTGCGGGAGAAAAAAAGTTCCCCGTGCAGTCGTATCACGGAAGGGGACCGATTATGCTCTGTGGTGCATACTACTACGGTCTGTTTAGTGAATTCGTCTTCGGCAATCCGGACAAACTGTTGCAGAATCCGGATCTCCTACTCAACGATGGTGAACTCGGATTTTTGTCCGCAATTTGGTTCTGGGTAACGGATAAAAACGGACGACCTTCATGCCACCGAGCCATGTATCGCTACCTGAAACATATTCACTCTTGGGGATTTGGTCACACAATCATCGATGTGAGTGACGGGGTGGAAAGCCATGCCATGGAAGGAGGCACAGCTAATCATGAAAGGTTGGTTAGCACGCGGATTCAGTTCTATCGTAAATATGCAACTCGCTTTGGTGTGAACATTGGAATTAAAGGAGAACAATTGGACACTGTGGGACTTGAGTAGAGAAAGGAAACGCTTTTGGTAATCAAGGGATTTCTAGCGCGCGTTGTCTTCTTTCCTAGACATATTTTTCTCTTTTTCTCTCTTCTCAAAAGGCTGTGTAAATTTTTCAGTGAAACATGGATTCTTATGGCCAATACTTTCGAGAATAGATAGAACAACAAACATTCTGATAGATACTCATCCAAGTAACGGAGACGCTTATTAAGTAGTCCATATTGTACCGTGTTTTTTTCAAACCCTTCATTGCTAAACGGGACATTTATCGATCTGCTTCGGTGGAACTGGATGCACGGTGAGTGGTACTCACTAGATGTAAATTTGATCAGGCTGACTTGTGTGACAAATTCACACAAATTAGACCGTCGAAGTGCTGAATAACACTTGGACTTTGTCAGGGAGGCCAGATTCCTGAAGTAACGTCAGAATACCCGGAACCTACTGAGACCCTAAAACTCTGCCAAAATCTCAATAGGAAAGCCAACAAGTATTCGGGTCAGTCAATCATTCAATCGACTCGGTAAAAGCCGATGAGTATTCAGGCACGCAACGGAAGCACGACCGAATATGATCGGTGTTCAGGCGTTTCAATAGAAGCGCATCGATGCTGATGGGTTTTCACTAAACGCCCATCAGAGAGCCTGGATCAATGTCAAAGAGTGTGTTTTATATAGCTCGGGGGCGTTGTAACTTTTGCACTCGCACGCAACCACCTGGTTGGAATAAAACTGTTGTGTACCCTTGTCGGTGAGTTCTGGCACGAGACACTGGAGCGGGAACAGCAGTCAGATATAACAGACATGAACTTAGGTACTCAAAGATGAGACACACTGAGTGGAAAACCTCCGTAGCGTTTTTAGGGATCACTCTAAGTTCTCCATATGTGTTGTCAAAACTAGTGCTTTGGTTCTCAACATGAAGAGGTATCCGAAACGAAGGCATCTCCGGCGCGACGGTACACAATAGGAACTGAAAAGGCCCAACACAACAAAACAGTGAGAAAATCGGATATGGGTCTACTGTTTTTGAAGGCCACCTGCAGAAGGTTCTAGAAGTGTTTTTGAGCACCTAAAACAGACCTAGTCACAACTTCAAAAGCTAGGTGTTAGACTATGAATCAGCTCTTGGAGAGAATTCAGCTATCTGCCCCAGCAAAACCAGCCCACCACTGCAAGCAACGGAGGCATGACTGGTTGTTAATATATTGAAAATTCTGGGAACAGCAAGCACGCTGTCAACGACAAAATGATGCGAAAATGGTTATCTGTCAGTGAAGTTCCACGGATAGCCGATCTCTTGCTCGCAGAGTTTTTGCAATTTAAATTTATTGGTAATTTCCTCGATGGTTTTGCACACGCTCTGCCGAAGAAGGGTTCCTGCTCCTAGGTGGCGAGTTGGAGGAGCGTTTTCTGTTGGCACACGTGAAGGCGAATTCGAGAAGACTGAACACAGATACCGGAGCACATTTCGTGTTCTGGGATTTTTCATTAAAAAGCACTCAAACACTCTTAATTTTATTATCATTATGAGAACAAATTAACCGACACATGATGAGTGATTCACTCACACAAAACCCGAGATTAGGCCTAACAGACTACTCATAAGGTCGCTGAAAACTCTTGGAAAGCTCGCAGCTGGTTGCGCCTTTCTTGAGGCTCATCAGATAGCCTCAGTCCCCGCGTTTCCTTCATCATGGAAGCGGACTATGAATGTGAGATGCATGTTGTCTCTATCAGTATGGAACTGACACGACACCCAAATGACAGTTGGGAACTCAACAGATTCGAAAACCGGAGATGTGGTCGCATCATCACACTGGTCAACAAGCATTTCACCGCTGTGGCTGAATAGAACTCAAGTCTGTCATAAATTAGGATCATTTTCTCTAGTTTTCTCTAGTTTAGTTAAAACAGATCAAGAAAGTACATGGTCGTTAGGTCAACCAATGATATAAATATCACAAAGCTGAAAGGAATACCACCTGGCTGGTGGTTAAGTTTATGGCATTCATATTTGGTGTACTCAAGACGGCAAATCACAACAAGTTTGGTGGGCAGTGAGAACCCGTATGGAGTAAGACAGAGTCAGCGTTTATTCTTGGTCAAATTGCCCAGGTCACACGGCTGTAATAGTATTATTGGCCGTGTCATTCTGGTTATCAGTAACAGTATGTTGTCGCTGTCAATATTCAATAATAATGAAGAAACCGCACGATCACACAGGCTTCCAGTTGTTCGAAGCCATCCGAGACTCCTTTGCGAAAGCCAAGCGAATCCGGTCGCATCAGAGCAGTGGTCATATTGCAGGCGAGGAGACTAGCCACAGCCTCATCGGGATGGAGTCGCCAAGTAAACTGTCGGCTTTTGGGCAGCTTGTTGGCCACCCAGCCTACGAAACGAAACGTAGTCAACAAACGCATAACACACTGAATATCGTTCCATCCGAAACATGAAGCTGTCCCGGCGGAACATATTCAGTTGACGAATATTGCCATAGAGAGGTTCAACTCAGCCTCTGATTAATACAACACCCTCCTTCAGACGATACAGTGCCACTCGTGGCCGAACGGTTAGGTGTTCAAACTACTAGCCGGGAGGTCGCGGGTTCGAGACTCTTCGGAGTTTCGTGAGATGCGCACTGCTGCTGATTCCCAATAAGGATGAAACAGCTGTACAGTGCTTCTCGGCTTTACAGCATATATTGGCTTCACTTACAGGACGAAATCCCACACAAAATATCCCAAATCTCCTCACACTACCCACAATATATAAGTAGCTCAGTGGAAGAATAAACTTCACCCGATGAGTGAAACTTCTATCTGAGAAGTCGTTGCTCGAGGAGCCAGTCAACAAGTGAGACCGCGTGATGTGGATCCCGTGATTCAAGGATGAGCGGCGCTATATCCTGTCTAAGTGCGAGTTAATCACACTGCTGATCAGCCACGCGTGGCCGAACGGTCAAGTGTTCAAGCTACTAGCCAGGAGGTCGCGGGTTCCAGACTCTTCGGAGTTTCGTGAGAAGCGCACTTTCTTATTTCTTTGCCTTTCATGGGGAAGGTACTTGATCGGCATAGACTACACGAAGCAGTCCGCACAGCCGCCTAATCAAGCTGATGACGGAATTGCAAGTTAAACCGCAGATGCTCTGCAGCGACCACCCCTCTAGTATGACTACTGTTCTCACTCCTGTGCCTGGTGCCGGAGAAAGACTCTATTGCGAACAAACGAGAGCAGGCGAGCGCAAAAGTCACAACGGCCCCGAACTATTTAAAGCACACTTTTTGACATTGATCTAGGCTCTCTGATAGGCGTTTAGTGAACACCCATCAGCATCGATTGCGCTTCGATGAAATGCCTGAACACTGATCATATTCGGTCGTGCTTCCGTTGCGTGCCTGAATACTCATCGGCTTTTACCGAATCGATTGAATGATTGCCTGACTGACCCGAATACGAGTGTGTTTTCATATTGAAATTTGGGCGGAGTTTTAGGGTCTCAGTAGGTTCCGGCTATTCTGACGTTACTTCAGAAATTTGAACTTTTTGACAAAGTTAACTGCCTCCTACAATATCTGGCACCGTGGAACTATAGTTGGCGGCTGATCCGTTCAGATATCGCTGTAGAAAACTGCTACCACAAATGCACACACACGTCATCGATCACTGATGTGCACATTGGAGTGAATCAAACTTTCATGCAGAGGTCTAAGCAGCCATCTAGCTGTGTAATTAACCCTAAGGCCGGTTGCCGTGTTCTTTTGAACTGCAGGCTTTAGTGTATATCAAGGCAGGTTTGGAGATTCGATCGACCGGTCATAGCTCGGCGATTTTTAGACATACCGTCTAACTGCACTTTTTCTCACTGTATCAAGAGGCCAAACCAATAATGTGCAAACTATAATTCAGTCCTCAAGCTTGTCGAATGTAACAGCCACGTTCCTTGATCTATTGCACAAACCCCGGGAGATAAAAATTGACCGACAAGAACATATCTTTGATTCCCGAATGCTGTTTCTTTTAGCGTTCTGGTCGGTTCTTATTTCGGCAGAAATTCATGCCAAACCATGCAGAGTCCCTCTAAACTATTTACACCAGCAAATGATTCTTCGACCATGTCCATATGCTTCAAACCTCACGCAAGAGATGGATTCGTCAAGATATCATTTTTCTCTCCTCTTTACTTGATCGGTTAATAAACGGACGGATTACCGGGCTCTGTAAAACTCTGTTTGACTGTCACAAGCTTTCTCGTATCGGTAATTTTGTTCTTCCTGTCTTGTGGCCAGAGTATCCTCAAAATTTGTTTTAGAAGTGATATTATACAAGACAGAATAGGAATCCGACACATCATTAGCTCGCCTAAGGTTTGGAGGGTAAGCGGGAAGTACAAGTTCTTGTGTACTATGTGTGCCAGCTTCCGTGGTAGGTTAGATGGGAGAGCGATCGCCATGTAACTGAAAGCCCATGTACTTGAGTCTCATTCCTACTTATCTCGTCATTATTATGTGTATGTTCAAACCCCCACAGAATAACACAATTACAAAAGAGTGTTTCAGTTCCTCCTGGAAACTCTATTCAAAGGGGCTGAGTTGTAGTCATGGCTGACAGGGTTTGCTGTTTGATCCTATCCGGAGAGTTTCCGTTTTCCAAAGTGGGCTTTGTTTGGAAGTTACTTCACTTTTGCACTTTGGAAATAATTCGGCCTGGCCCATTTCCACGCTGATAAGTAGCTTCAATCTGTCCCCAGCTTTTTTCAATCTGAATTGGAAAACCAAACCATACAGTGTTAAGCTGGATTTGTCAAGCTACAGGTAGCGTGGTTTATGGACATTCTACAAGCGGCAATGATACAAGTTTAGTGGACTGCGCAGATTAGCGACAGGTTTGTTCGGTAGAACATACACGTTTCTAAATCTATACAAAACCCTTTCAAAAACTAACTGAGAATATAAGTGTTTGGGACCAGCGCCATTATTGGACTGCTTTCATAAAATAATCAGCCCCAACATCCCAGGGGATGGGCTTCAGTCTGCCAAGAAGCAAGCATTTCGCAGTAATTGCTTGTGTAATTAACCCCTGTGTCAGCAATCCTCAATCAAAACAATAAGCCTACAGCTTGATCGGTCTGCAGGTCACAAATGGTCCAAGTAGGCTGAACATCTTGTACTTGTTTGTAGTCATTGTTGCACGTTAATGAGGGCGAGATTACTAGCAGAGAGGCTATAGACCACTGAAGGTGAAGTTCAACACTCTTTAGGCTGTCTACCGGACCTCGAGAGGGCTTCATCGTTAAAAAGCGAGCTTACTGACCAAAAGGTCTGTATTGTGGGCCCAATCTTGGCATCTCGACTGCTTCTGTCCAGGATTCGGCAATCTGGCAGCGGCTCGACCCTAATGCTTTCGGTCGCGTGACATTTAGGCAACTAAAGGGCTTCGCAGCTTAGCGATACAGGAACACAAAAGTTTCCTAATCACCTTATACGAATCAAATCGGGAATTAGCTTGTGAACCCTGAGGGTAAGTTAGCGCATCGGAACATGTAGCGAGGTAATCAGAAAGCGAGCCCCCGGCTGTTATCCAGGAACTTTTATCGAAGAATACTTGCAGTACCCGAAGCCGCGTTGGCTAGCCCATTGAATGCTTACCCCGAACCATCATTCGCCGAGGAGAACGATGCAGTTTTACGTGTCCAGTTTCGAGTGGCGGAATCAGACAGGTGCTCTAAATGGGTATCTGGAGGTTGGGGCACCTCGGAAGGATTATTTGTGATAGGCTAGCATTAATTCCCTTCCCCGTCCACCTTTATTAGTTCAACTTAATGATTTCTGTACGGTAGCGAAGACTCAGTGTCGAAAACTGATGTTATGCTGTAGATGATGATGACGATGACGATGATGATGATGATGATGGTGATGATGATGTTTACGTTGACATAAGTTAACATAGAAGCAGTAGAATAGTAGAAACGCTATCCCAAAGAAGTAATTTACAATATAAGGTTTGATAACAGTGCAGCACACGTAACCATTCAGAGGTCAAAAAGATAGTCAAGTGGGAAATCATAGAAATTCGATATGTGGTGATCCTCACTGAGACCATGAGACCACGCGCCAAATATCTATGTGGCCTGAGGTAAGGCTGGGTAAATAGTGTGTTGACCCTACGATAATATTTCTGGGTAAAGTTATTATACATATCAAGTTGTTTGTTACATGTAAAAGTGACAAAGATACCACCGGCGTTCCCACTCTCCAAAATCAGTGAAGTCGATGAACCCACCGAGCAATTTATAAACAACGTAATGGCGTTTTCTTCAAGTTATATTTCAATCTTCTTGAAGCAGCCAATACAGTCACACATGTCTACAGAAAAGTGATTGGCAAACCACACGATCAGCTGTTTGCACACTCACGATCGATTGCCCACAGCTGTTCAAATGTTGCGACCTTAGTACAGGTCATCAGGCCTCCATCCGTGTGTCCCAGAGCATAAGAGGGCTATTACATTGAAGTGACCAAACACAAACCGAGGACATAAATGGCAAAAGCACCAGCGATTGGAATCGATCTGGGGACCACGTTCTCATGTGTGGGTGTATTCCAAAACAACAAGGTGGAAATCATTGCAAATGACCAAGGGAACCGCACAACTCCGAGTTATGTGGCCTTTACTGAGACCGAACGTTTGATTGGTGATGCGGCCAAGAACCAGGTTGCTATGAATCCAGCTAACACGGTCTTCGATGCCAAACGCTTAATCGGTCGTAGGTACGATGACCCTACTGTTCAAGAGGATCGTAAAATGTGGCCATTCACATTGATTGAAGAAAACGGCAAACCGAAGATCCAGGTCGAATACAAAGGTCAAAAGAAAACGTTCTTTGCTGAAGAGATATCCTCGATGGTGTTGACAAAGATGAAGGAAGTCGCGGAAGCCTATTTGGGGAAGACGGTCAGTGAGGCAGTCATCACTGTGCCGGCCTACTTCAATGATAGTCAAAGGCAGGCCACGAAGGATGCAGGGACGATTGCCGGTCTAAACGTTCTACGGATTATCAATGAACCAACAGCAGCAGCTATTGCTTATGGCCTGGATAAGAAGGCCGGTAACGAAAGAAACGTTCTCATTTTCGATCTCGGTGGTGGAACCTTTGACGTTTCGGTGGATTATCAAGAACCAACAGCAGCAGCCATTGCTTATGGCCTGGATAAGAAGGCCGGTAACGAAAGAAACGTTCTCATTTTCGATCTCGGTGGTGGAACCTTTGACGTTTCGGTGCTGTCCATCGAAGAGGGTATATTTGAAGTAAAATCCACTGCCGGCGATACACATTTAGGCGGGGAAGACTTCGACACCCGACTGGTGAACCATTTCATTCAAGAGTTTAAGAGAAAACACAAGAAGGACCTGTCAGAAAACAAACGCGCTCTGCGTCGACTGCGAACAGCCTGTGAACGTGCCAAACGAACTTTGAGTTCAAGTGCACAGGCCAATGTCGAGATTGATTCGCTTTTTGAAGGACTAGACTTTTATACCACCATTACTCGCGCCCGATTCGAGGAACTCAACGCTGATTTGTTCCGAAGTACTTTGGACCCAGTCGAAAAAGCGCTAAGAGACGCCAAAATGAACAAGTCGCAAATTCACGAGATTGTTCTCGTGGGTGGTTCAACCCGAATCCCGAAAATTCAGAAATTGCTCCAAGAGTTTTTCAACGGAAAAGAGTTGAACAAATCTATCAATCCTGATGAAGCAGTAGCCTATGGAGCTGCCGTTCAGGCCGCAATTCTTACCGGAGTCCAATCGGATACCGTTCAAGACTTGCTGTTACTTGATGTGACACCTTTGTCCTTAGGTTTGGAAACTGCCGGAGGTGTGATGACGTCACTGATCAAACGAAACACGACTATCCCAACAAAACAAACACAAACGTTTACGACATACGCAGACAATCAACCTGGCGTTCTGATACAGGTTTACGAAGGCGAACGTGCCATGACCAGGGATAACAACCTTTTGGGAAAATTTGATTTGTCTGGGATTCCACCTGCCCCTCGAGGTATACCCCAAATTGAGGTCACTTTTGACATTGACGCGAATGGGATTCTGAATGTGTCCGCAGTGGACAAGAGTACGGGTAGACAGAACAAGATAACGATTACCAACGATAAGGGTCGTTTGTCAAAGACAGAGATTGACCGAATGGTTTCTGATGCGGAGCGCTACAAAGCCGAGGATGAAGCTCAGCGTGAGCGGGTAACAGCAAAGAACGCTTTGGAAAGTTACATCTATTCTCTGAAACAAACTACGGAAGACAGTGCAGTTCGTGACCGAATACCCGCTTCTGATCGAAACATGATCAGTGAGAAGTGTACAGAATTGTTGCAGTGGATTGACCACAATCCGAATGCCTCCAAAGAAGAGTACGAACGTGCGAGAAAGGACTTGGAGAAGATTGCAACGCCAGTTATAACCCGGTTGTATCAACAAAATGGTCATACAACAACAACAACAACAACAACAACCACCGGGACGGGAAGGGATAATTCAGGAACACAAAGGGGTCCAGTGATTGAAGAAGTGGACTGAAATGCATCACAGAACTTCCTTTCGGCAACTTGTTTTTATTTCAGTAGTCCAATTTCTTTTTTGTTTTATTTCCACACAAAAAACCCTGTTTTCTTTCCCTTGTCCACTTTTACCTGGCAAACAAACAAGTAGCAGACATGGGACACTAAGAAAGTGATTGGTCACCTTGCGATGTCTGGCTATGGAGCAAAAGTTCTGGGGTCTAAAACCGGAGAACATTAAGTTAAGTGTACTGCCAAATTTACGAATGAGCTTTAGGGAGTGTTGGATAGTACTTCATATAGGAAAGCATTAAACAAAAGTCTTCAAATTTTCACAAGGAGGGATTGTATCTGCGGTTAGTGCTCACGGCCAATGTGTAGGGCTACCTATCAGAAACTGATCGCAATGAACTTACAGCTGAGAGTTAGTGTTGGAAAAATCAGTTGTTGAAATGTAGCACAATCCTTATGAGTTGACCGAACGAACCCAATCCCAATGGTATCTACCGTCTTCGAGATTATCGAATTTCCAATGGATATCCGTCTTCTAGGATGTATTCCCATTACCAGTCCGAGACCAGTCGTGTTCCCGTTCACATCACTCTCGTTGGAAGAATCGTCCTCCTGTCCTGGCGTAATTATTCTGATGAGTTGACACCAAAGCCAGAAGACACTGGACTCGAGTTTCTCTCTTATTAGGGCTTATCAGCAGTGCATGTCCTCGGCCGTTCCGCCGTTTGAACTCCGCACCATTGGCGTACTAGGTGGACGTTACGACTACTCCACCATCGCACGCTGGACGCATGAGTTTTCAGATCCGAACAAGCGAACGTTTTTTTGAGCGATGTGATTGGTTTTCCCCCGAATACTCGAACGACGACCCAGTAACAGTCCTGGCTGTGACGATCGATTGACCCGGCTGTCAGGACTTCTCAGTCTGGTAGCACCACAGAGGCTTGAAACCGATTGGGCTGTTGTGGGTACTCGCAGGATTTGTGGTGATCGCGTTCACATCACTCTTGTTCATAGTCGAGGTGCTCAGGTCGGGTTCGAGCTACGGACCTTCCGGTCAGTAAGCTGGCGCCTTAGCCATCGATCTATCTCGGGTTCATTGATCTTGAGTAGGAAAATAGAGTTAAAACGTTGAGCAGCACAGACAATTGAAAGTGTGTAAAATTCACGAGCTTCAAGAATGATGAACTTTAGTGTGTCCAGAAGAACACAAGCCCAAAACGCAAACTATCTGGAAGACAAACTTGAGCAGCCCTTCAGCGCAGAGGGTATGTAACCTGGCGATCCATCGGGTCATTTTTTAACCGAATACCAGTGTAATGAGAGTAAGCCACCGTCGTCCACGAATGATGTCGCTTTGTTGAAGTGGGATAAATCCTAAGTTATCGAGATGTCGTGCTTTATGCAACGATGGTCACCGTGCAGTTCCCCACCGCAGACCAGCTATCCGAGTCAACAACGTGGTAGACTTCCATTTGCAAACCTTGATGATCATCTACAAAGATGCTCTTTCAGAAACAAGATAACAGAAGGGAGCACAGTAAGTGTTCATTAAAAAGTCTCAAGCGAGCCACATTTACCTCTCAAAATCATGTCGAAACAGAAATGAAGTAGGATTTCTGAGTTACAACACCGAAACATCAATAAGATTCCATAAATTCAGTTGTTTGATAAGTGTTTAGCTACAGACATTAGATAGATAGATAGATAGATAGATAGATAGATAGATAGATAGATAGATAGATAGATAGATAGATAGATAGATAGATAGATAGATAGATAGATAGATAGATAGATAGATAGATAGATAGATAGATAGATAGATAGATAGATAGATAGATAGATAGATAGATAGATAGATAGATAGATAGATAGATAGATAGATAGATAGATAGATAGATAGATAGATAGATAGATAGATAGATAGATAGATAGATAGATAGATAGATAGATAGATAGATAGATAGATAGATAGATAGATAGATAGATAGATAGATAGATAGATAGATAGATAGATAGATAGATAGATAGATAGATAGATAGATAGATAGATAGATAGATAGATAGATAGATAGATAGATAGATAGATAGATAGATAGATAGATAGATAGATAGATAGATAGATAGATAGATAGATAGATAGATAGATAGATAGATAGATAGATAGATAGATAGATAGATAGATAGATAGATAGATAGATAGATAGATAGATAGATAGATAGATAGATAGATAGATAGATAGATAGATAGATAGATAGATAGATAGATAGATAGATAGATAGATAGATAGATAGATAGATAGATAGATAGATAGATAGATAGATAGATAGATAGATAGATAGATAGATAGATAGATAGATAGATAGATAGATAGATAGATAGATAGATAGATAGATAGATAGATAGATAGATAGATAGATAGATAGATAGATAGATAGATAGATAGATAGATAGATAGATAGATAGATAGATAGATAGATAGATAGATAGATAGATAGATAGATAGATAGATAGATAGATAGATAGATAGATAGATAGATAGATAGATAGATAGATAGATAGATAGATAGATAGATAGATAGATAGATAGATAGATAGATAGATAGATAGATAGATAGATAGATAGATAGATAGATAGATAGATAGATAGATAGATAGATAGATAGATAGATAGATTGAGTGATTTTTTTCAACTTTCTCTTAACAAACAAGCCTTAGTATCGACCGGGGCCACGCCACTTTGAGAACTCGTTCCTTAGCTCAAGAATCGATATTTAATATGGAGTCGAATTTGATATATGCCGCGCCCCGGAAAACAAAACCATGTTATATCAAATAATGGTTTCAAATTTATGAGAGGTGGTTCGAACAGAATTTTTGTATCCCACTTTGAAGCTCTCGAGAATGACTTTGGGCAGTTTTATCAACAAAGGGATCTCACGATCCAAAAGTCACGAGATTTGTGGATTTAAACTGTTCTATTGAACAATTTTCCAAGCGCTTATTAAAACAAAACACTCGTTTAATACCAGTCAGTACGGGTTGGAAGATTGTCGTCTGAGCCCCATGCAGAGTGATTTTGCTTTGTGGGTAACTTTTCTGCTCCATAACAGACAGAACACCACTACAGAAGCCACGCCGTCTCAAAATTTCAGACACTTTCTCTGGAGCCAAAGGGTACCCGGCTTCAACGTCTTGGCTAGTTCTTGTGAACCACGAGAAGCTGATGAATATGATGCGGGCCAGTCTTTGATAGAGTGTCAACGTAGTAGTCTTGATGTTTAATCATCTTTACATGTCAAATACAGCACACACTGTTCTGATGGATGATCTCAGTGTTTGGTTCTGAACAGTGCCGTCGTAGCTATTGATGCCTCCCGCTCACACGAATGAGCTTGCCAATATGTATCACTGTGTGGTAGGAATTTGGCCTGTAAAAATATGCGTATTTGCGGGATAGGCAGAATCCGTATTCGCATCTCCCTTAGTTGAATAGTTCTCATCCTGTCCAAGTACAACTACTCTGATCAGTCCACATCAAGGAACCGAACAATTGAACTGGAATTTCGCTCTTATTAGAAGTCATTAGCGATGCATAACCTTGATCGTGGGGTGAGATGAACACACCATTTGACATGCGAGGCGAGTGCGCTACCGCTACATTGCAAGCGCGCACCGGACGAGTCTAACTTTCGCCTGCTAAATAGGCGAACGTGCTCATGGATGGTTTGCTCGAGGTCTCAATCAAACACCCATTGTCTGTTCAGGTTGGTTCAGCCAATTGGCCCGTCTGTCAGGACCTTCCAGTGAGATAGCTTCAAGGGTTCTTGGACTTAATCAGCCAAATTTGAATAAACGTAGGTGATCGCGCCTGGTCCGGTCAGTCCAGCTTGCGCTAGTGCGGTTTTCGCGGCACACGTATGTTAGATGTCCAAGGTTCAGATCCCAACGCGGCCAAGGATATGTACGACTTATGAGCGCTTTCATGAGCATAACCCGACTAAAGTGCTTCGCTGTTTGGTGTGGAATCACTAGAATAAATATTCCAGGATTTTAGGTATTATGTGGATGCAGCTTACGACGAGGAATCACACTAAAGTACATTAGAAATTGTGTTTCTGTCAGTCGATATCCACCAGCAGAATAAATATCCCAGGATTTTAGGTATAATGTGGATGCATCTTACGACGAGGAATCACACCAAAGTACATTAGAGATTGTGTTTCTGTCAGTCGATATCCACCAGTCGTCCTGTCAGTCGTTTTAATACTTCAGCGCTCGTTTAAGCGATCCGTTTGAAAACCAAGTGAGAGATTCGGCTGATCGTTCGGCTAGAGCCAGGCAAATTAATTTGTCTCCCCCTCACTGGCAAATTCTAATTTCTTACTACTCAGAAGGTTTGTGAGTAATCTGCTACTGAAACTTCTCTGCAACCTACATCTGATAAACAGATAATCAGGTTTTCATCTAGACGCCCCATGTTCCAGTCATTCTACATTGTGTAGTCCAGTAGTCTGACAGTCGGTCTGTGCGTGTTTGTGAAAATTAGTGTATCAGTCTGGACCATTCATCCCCGAGAACTAGCTTGTGGCTGTCTGGGTAAGCCATTGACGAACAAGCAGCCATATCAACCTGCATACTGTCACGGTAGTTTTGCCATATCACGTGAATTTCATTACTACCGTCAACCTTATGTTCCACTTGAACACCTAATTGTGGGCAATCGAGGAAATACACTCACTTGCAAAGTGATTTTGGCCTTAACGGAAAACTCTCTTGTTCGTGATATTCTTCAAATGTATATACTGCATAAAGTTCGCCCCAAAATTTCAGTCGGCACAATACTAGAGTACACAGTTCCCAACAGGTCTCACCAATTGTAGGGTTTCTTCAGATCTTTTGCGAAATTTTGGGCTGAGGACAATCCCAATGGAGAGATGCAGCACCAAGTTAATTTCCAAATGGGCGTTTCCTTCATTCACATTAAATCGCCACTCAACACCGTA